TTCCCCCATCCACCCACCGGTCTAAGACAAGAGTAAAAGCCCTGAGAGACCCTTCCCCACAGACAACGCACCAGCTCGTAAATAGGTGAGAGCGATAAGTTACCTCAGTCTGCTCACCCCGTGAGTGCATGCACGCAGGTGCATGCATACCTGGTGCATACACAGACGCACACACACACACACGCACACACACACACGCACATACATACACACACGCGCGCACATACATACACACACAATGCAAACACGCACACACACATACACACACACGCAAGCACACATACACACACATGCACACACGCAGACAAACACACACATACACACACTCAAACACAAACATATACACACAGGTATACACGCAGACACACATACACACACGCACACATATACATACATATATACAAACATACACACACACACACAAACAAACACATACACAAACACATACACACAAACATACACAAACACACTCCACACACACACACACACACACACACACACACACACAGCAACCTGCTACTTGTTAAACTAGTCTGCTGCAAAGAAATTGGACCAGGAATCTGACGTAGTCAGAAAATACATTAAATTAAGTCGATGTACGAACAACTCCTAGCCGTGTATGTCGGTTCTTATTTTTAGTAAGAGTTTTACGGCACTTGCAACATAATTAGGTTATAAAAGTACCGAAGATTAGAGGTGTTACAAGAGAGTAACATACACAAAAAAGGGAGGAGGAGAGATAAAGACGTTAGATGTTTGACAGGAAAGAAAGAGCAAACCACACCAGAGCACCCGCCAACCACCCACAGGGGTATACATCGTTAGAACCAGACGCTGAGGAATGTTTGCATCGGTGGTCTAGTGGTTAGGCTCAAGTGGGTTCTCAACCGTAAGTGAGTGGGTTCGAATCCCGTTAGGGGGCTCGACGTTGTGTCTTTTAGTTTTAGTTTTAGTAGAGGTTTTACGGCGCTCGCAACTGCATAAAGTCATAATATGAGCGCCAGAAGATTAGAGGTGTTACAAGAGAGTAACAAACAAAAAAAAGAAGAAAGGGAGATATGAACGATAGATGTTTCATAGGAAAGAAGGAGCAAACCACACCAGAGCACCCGCCAACCACCCACGTTGTGTCTTTGGGAAAGACACTTCACAAGAATTACATGTATTATGCTCACTTCACCCGGGTGAGATTAGAGAACAGGGGTACCCGGCTCTACATAATATAGATAGCGAGATTGTTTGTCAGTTTGTTAGTGTTTTAGAGCGTGCAATCCAGCAGCTTGCACCGTATGCTTCCCGGGAGGCCAAGAATGTTTCTAAGTGTTCTTGGGTCAGCTGGAGTAGTTGATATTGTCAAGCTCATAAAACAGTCTGTACACCGTGTTTAAAAAAAAAAAGTATGCGGTTTATAAATGCAATTATTACAGAGAATAATGCAGCCATTCCAACATTAAACAATTGTAAAACTCTCCAAGACGCCAGCATCTATATAACTCCCCCCTCCTCACCCCCACCCCC